CACCCACCATGCCCAGGCTCACCCACCACAGCCCCCCAGGTCACCCACCATGCCCCTCCAGGCTCACCCCACCATCCCTCCAGGCTCACCCACCATGCTCCCAGGCTCACCCACCATGCCCCAGGTCACCCACCACCTCCAGGTCACCCACCATGCCCCCCAGGTCACCCACCATGCCCCCAGTCACCCACAACCCTCTGTGTCACCCAACATGTCTCTGCACACCCACCATGCCCCCCAGGTCACCCACCATGCCCCTCAGGCTCCACCATCCCCCAGGTCACCCACCATCTCTCCAGGTCACCCACCACACCTCCAGGTCACCCACCATGCCCTGTCACCCACCATGCCCCAGGCTCACCCACCATGCCCCCTGTGCTCACCCACCATGCCCCCCAGTCACCCACCATGCCTGTGTCACCCACCATGCCCCAGGTCACCCACCATGCCCCCAGGCCACACCCACCATGCCCCCAGGCTCACCCACCATCCCAGGTCACCCACCATCCTCCCAGGCTCACCCACCATCTCCAGGCTCACCCACCATGCCCTGTGTCACCCACACCACTCATGTGTCACCCACCATGCCTCCAGGCTCACCCACCATGCCCTGTGTCACCCACCATGCCTCTGTCACCCACCATCCCAGGTCACCCACCATGGCCCTCAGTGGTCACCCACCATCCTTGCACACCACCATCCCTCCAGGTCACCCACCATGCCCTCCAGGTCACCCACCATGCCTCCAGGGCCACCCACCATCCCTCCAGGCCACCCACCATCCCTCCAGGTCACCCACCATGCCTGTGTCCACCCACCATGCCCCTGTGTCACCCACCACCCTCTGTGTCACCCACCATGCCCTCCATGCGGTCACCCACCATGCCCTGGTCACCCACCACGCCCAGGGTCACCCACCATGCCTCTGTGCCACCCCACATCTCAGTGTCACCCACCATGCCCCCAGGTCACCCACCATGCCCCAGGCTCACCCACCATGCCCCAGGCCACCCACCATGCCCCGTGGTCACCCACCATGCCTCCAGGTCACCCACACCCCAGGTCACCCACCATGCCTCTGTCACCCACCATGCCCCTGCAGGTCACCCACCATGCCCCTGTGTCACCCACCATGCCCCCCATATGTCACCCACCATCTCTGTGTCACCCACCATGCCCCAGGCTCACCCACCATGCCCCCAGGTCACCCACCATCCCTCCCAGTCACCCACCATCCCTCCTGTGTCACCCACCATGCCCCAGTGTCACCCACCATGCCCCAGGCTCACCCACCATCCCCACACCCACCATGCCCTGGCCACCCACCATCCCTCCACCCACCATGCCTCCAGGTCACCCACCATGCCTCCAGGCCACCCACCATGCCCCTCCAGGCCCACCCACCATCTCCAGGTCACCCACCATGCCCCAGTCACCCCACCATCCTCCAGGTCACCCACCACACCCTCGTGTCACCCACACCCTCCAGGCTCACCCACCATCCCTCCAGGTCACCCACCATCCCTCCAGGTCACCCACCATCCTCCTGTGTCACCCACCATGCCTCCAGGTCACCCACCATGCACCCACCATCCTCCAGGCACCCACCATGCCCCAGGCCACCCACACCCACACCCACCATCCTGCACCATCCCTCCAGGCCACCCACCATCCCTCCAGGTCACCCACCATGCCCCTGTGTCACCCACCATGCCCCCTGTGGCTCACCCACCATCCTCCACCACCCCACCATCCCTCCAGGCACCATCCACCACATCCCCTCAGGTCACCCACCCATCTCCAGTGTCACCCACCATCCTCCAGGTCACCCACCCACATCTCCAGGCTCACCCACCATGCCCCAGGCTCACCCACCATGCCCTCCAGGTCACCCACCATGCCCCAGGTCACCCACCATCCCCTCCAGGCCACCCACCATCCCTCCAGTGTCACCCACCACCCTCCTGCCAGGCTCACCCACCATCCCTCCAGGCTCACCCACCATGCCTCCAGGCTCACCCACCATGCCCCAGGTCACCCACCATGCCCCAGGTCACCCACCATGCCCCAGGCTCACCCACCATGCCCCAGGCTCACCCACCATCCCTCCAGGCCACCACCATCCTGTGCTCACCCACCATCCTCCAGGTCACCCACCATGCCTCCAGGTCACCCACCATGCCCCTGGTCACCCACCATCCCTCCAGCGGTCACCCACCATCTCTGTGCTCACCCACCATCCTCCAGGTCACCCACCATGCCCCAGGCCCACCATCCTCCAGGCCACCCCACCATGCCCCAGGCTCACCCACCATCCTCCAGGTCACCCACCATCCTCCCAGGCCACCCACCATGCCCCCTGGTCACCCCACCATGCCCCCTGTGTCACCCACCATGCCTCCAGGTCACCCACCATCCTCTGTCACCCACCATGCCTCCTGTGTCACCCACCATGCCCCCAGGTCACCCACCATCTCCAGGTCACCCACCATGCCTCCAGGCTCACCCACCATCCCTCCCAGTCACCCACCATGCCCCAGGGTCACCCACCATCCTCCAGGTCACCCACCATTCTCCAGGCTCACCCACCATGCCCCCGTGCTCACCCACCATCCCTCCAGTCACCACACCTCCAGGCTCACCCACCATCCCTCCAGTCACCCACCATGCCTCCAGGCTCACCCACCATGCCCAGTCACCCACCATGCCCTCCAGGCTCACCCACCATCCTCCAGGTCACCCACCATGCCCCTGGCTCACCCACCATCCCTCCACAGGTCACCCACCATCCCAGGTCACCCACCATGCCCTCAGGCCCACCCACCATCCCCCCTCTCCAGGCCCACCCACCATCCCTCCAGGCCACCCACCATCCCCCTCCAGGCCACCCCCACCATCCCTCCAGCCACCCACCATCTCCAGGCCCACCCACCATGCCCCTCCAGGTCACCCACCATCTCTCCAGGCTCACCCACCATCCATCCGTGGCTCACCCACCATCCATCCAGCCACCCACCATGCCCCTCCAGGTCCACCCACCATCCCTCCACAGTCACCCACCATCTCCAGGTCACCCACCATCCCTCCAGGTCAACCCATCTCCAGGTCACCCACCATGCCCTCCAGGCTCACCCACCATCCCCAGGATACCCACCATCCCCAGGCACCCACCATCCCAGGTCACCCACCATCCCTCCAGGTCACCCACCATCTCCAGGCCACCCACCATCCCCAGGTCACCCACCATCTCCAGGTCACCCACCATTCCTCCAGGCCACCCACCATCCCTCCAGGCTCACCCACCATGCCTGTCACCCACCACCTTCCAGGTCACCCACCATCCCTCCAGGTCACCCACCATTCCTCTGTCACCCACCATTCCTCTGTGTCACCCACCATCCTCCTGGCCACCCACCATGCCCTCAGGCTCCCACCGCCCTGGTCACCCACCATGCCCCTGGTCACCCACCATTCCTCTGTGCTCACCCACCATGCCTTGTGCTCACCCACCATGCCTCCCTGTGTCACCCACCATGCTCCTGTCACCCACCATCTCTGTGTCACCCACCATCTCTGGTCACCCACCATTCCTCTGTGTCACCCACCATTCCTCCAGCCACCATTCCTCTGTGTCACCCACCATTCCCTGTGTCACCCACCATTCTCTGTGTCACCCACCATTCCTCTGTGTCACCCACCATCCCTCGTCACCCCACCACACCTCCCAGGCCACCCACCATGCCTCTGTGTCACCCACCATGCCCCAGTGTCACCCACCATCCCTCCAGTGTCACCCACCACCCTCCAGGTCACCCACCATCTCCAGGTCACCCACCATCTCCAGTCACCCACCATCCTCAGGTCACCCACCATGCCTCTGTGCCACCCACCATGCCCTCGTGTCACCCACCATTCCTCAGGTCACCCACCATGCCTTGTGTCACCCACCACCCTCCAGTCACCCACCATTCCTCTGTGTCACCCACCATCTCCTCTGTCACCCACAATTCCTCGGTCACCCACCATTCCTCCAGGTCACCCACCATGCCTTGTGTCACCCACCATGCCTCCCAGGTCACCCACCATGCCTTGTGTCACCCACCATCTCCAGGTCACCCACCATGCCTTAGGTCACCTACCATGCCTCTGTGTCACCCACCATGCCTCTGTGGTCACCCACCATTCCTCTGTGTCACCCCACATGCCCTGTGCTCACCCACCATGCCTCTGGTCACCCCACCATGCCCCCAGTGTCACCCACCATCCCTCTGTGTCACCCACCATGCCTCGTGTCACCCACCATTCCTCTGTGTCACCCACCATGCCTTGGCTCACCCACCATCTCTGTGTCACCCACCATTCCTCTGTCACCCACCATGCCCCTGTCACCCACCATGCCCTGCGGGTCACCTACCATCCCTTGTGTCACCCACCATCTCTGTGTCACCCACAATCCCTCTGTCACCCACCATTCCTCTGTCTCACCTACCATCTCCAGGTCACCCACCATGCCCCGTGTCACCCACCATGCCCTCGTGTCACCCACCATGCCTCTGTGTCACCCACCATGCCTCTGTAAGTCACCTACCATGCCTCTGTGTCACCCACCATGCCTTGTGTCACCTACCATGCCTCTGTGTCACCTACCATGCCTCTGTGTCACCAACCATGCCTCTGTGTCACCTCCCATGCCTTGTGTCACCTCCCATGCCTCGTGTCACCTACCATTCCTCTGTGTCACCTACACCCTCCACCTAATAATGTGCCAACCTGCCTACAGTGCAAGTGTTACTTTTTTACATTTAGTAATTACTTGTACACATATATGGGTCGATAATTTTTATTGTTGTATTTTTGTAGGAGGGGAAAGCCCTCGATAAGTCGGAATTTGGAAAAAATGGCGCCAGAGCCCCATATGTGCCGAGATATTGAGGGTTTACTCTAGTTTGAAGCAAATTATCTTCCTGAACATTTATTTGACAAGGTAAAACCATTTTAAATATAAAAGGTCTGCATAATTTAATGCGTGTACTGTATTATTCTTTCCTTTTTCTGCAGCTGTTGGAACTGACAGGTGTGAAGGCAGATGATGTCGCAATGTGGGAGGTGAATGAAGCATTTTCAGTAGTAGTATTTCTACAATATTAAAATGTGTGACCTGGATCCAGCCAAGGTCAACATTCATGGTGGAGCTGTGTCATTGGGTCATCCCATTGGGTAAGAAAAAGATTTTAAATATTTCCAGTATCTTTTACAAATTGTTTGTTTGAATGAGATTTATTTTTTTTCATGTTAGGTCAGGTCCTATAATGAAATGTTAATTAACTGCTCATCATCCGGACATCCAATAACAATAACAGTTCCAGTGTACTTTACACAGTTTAATGTAAATAAATTAGTTACTAGTTGACAAGGAATGATTCTCATTACTCACCACCACATAGCTAACTTGGCATGACAGCCAATGGTCACCCTACAACAGTTTTATTGTGAATGCTACCATTTGTTGGGATATCCAAGAGGAAAAGTTTTTTTATAATACTTGTTCATTACAGTTCTGTACATTAGTTATGTTAATGTAAATCATATCACTTGTAACCGAGGGATTAGTGTATACATTTTCTTTCCCTTTCTAGAACAGATACTGTACCTTCCTGAAGAGTTTGCAGTACCTCTATCTATAAAGAAGCATTATGCAGGTGGGGATACATACTCACTGGGGAATACTTGGCTCCAAGATATGATAAAACTACACTAAAATAATTAACAAATTATCATCAAACATTAGTCTTATTAATTACAGTCAGTGGTCCAAAATTTAAAAATCTGTAATGCTCAATAATGCGCATGGTTTCAGAATTAAAGTGTGCGCCAGGATTAGAGCATGTGGTTGGGGATACACTAAACTTTGGGTTCCATCTAGTCACACAGTTATTTTCCCGAGAGTCTACTTTATTGCAAATTATCATGTTTAACTATCTATGTACAGTAGAACGGTGATGTAATGCAAGATACGTTCCAAGAGAGGTCACTTTAAATCAAATTAGCATTAAATCGAAGTGTTGTTTCAATGGAATAATTTAGTTTGGTATTTGAGAGAAACACAAAATACTAAAAAGACTTACGACGGGGTTTGGGACCCAAATCCAATTCGTATCATCAATTTAAATAATACATAGAAAATCTAAAATGGGTGTCTCTTTTTCTTCTCAGCACCACAAAACTCTCACTTAGCTTGCGTGTTTTAAAGTGAATTACATGAAAATTTTGTCTGTGTGAAAGTTGGAACTCGAAAATACGTAATTTAAAAAAATTTTGGTTCAACTGAGGCAGATGCGTGGTCATGGTGTTTCAGTCGAGTAGAGTCGTGGTGAGGGAGGAGCTGTATATGCAGCAAGCACTCCTGCAGTCGGAGTTGGCAGGCCGTTACTGTTACTTTGTTCTGTACTGTCTGCTGCCTCGTCACTGGCCCTTCCCTGCCTGACAGAGAGTCTACCCAGATGCACCTCCATCCCATCTCCTATAATAAACAAAACATTTTTTTTTGTAGTATTATGCTTAAACAAACACTCATAAATCCACAGCTAAAATTAGGACCTGAAATGGTCTGTTTACTGGTGATCAGCTGATGTCAGAGGGAGTGAAGCGATGCTGGCCGCCGCCTCCTCCCGCCTCTCGTCTGCCTCCTCCTCCGCCTCTCGTCACCTCACACGCCTCTGTTCTGCCTCACCTCCACCCTCTCGTCTGCCTCCCTCCGCCTCTCGTCCTCCTCCACCCCTCACTCTCCACTTCTCTCATCTGCCTCCTCCCTGCCTCCTCCTCCCCCTCTTGTCTGCCTCACTCCTCCGCCTCTCGTCTGCCTCGCACCTCCTGCCTCTCGTCTGCCTCACTCCTCCATCCTCTGTCTGCCTCCTCCTCCCGCCTCTGTTCTGCTTCCTCCCGCCTCCCTGCTCTGCCTCCTCCTCCCTACCGTCTGCCCTCACTCCTCCCGCCTCTTGTCCTGCCTCCTCCTCCGCCTCCTCTCCCCCTCCCTCCTTCCCGCCTCTCGTCTGCCTCACTCCTCCCGCCTCCTCGTCTGCCTCCCTCCTCCCCCCCCTCTCGTCTGCCTCACACTCCTCCTGCCTCTCGTCTACCTCACTCCTCCCTTACCCCTCTCGTCTGCCTCACTCCCCACCTCACTCCTCCCGCCTCTCGTCTGCCTCACACCTCCCACCTCTGAAATGCCTCCTCACTCCCCCCTTGCCTCCCTCCTCCCGCCTCTCGTGCCTCCCTCATGCCTCACTCCTCCCGCCTCTTGTCTGCCTCACTCCTCCCGCCTCTCTGCCTCCCACCTCCTGCCTCTCGTCCTGCCTCACTCCTCCCGCCTCTCGTCTGCCTCACTCTCCCGCCTCTCGTCTGCCTCACTCCTCCCGCCTCTCGTCTGCCTCACTCCTCCCGCCTCTCGTCTGCCTCCTCCTCCCCCCTCTTGTCTGCCTCACTCCTCCCGCCTCCTCGTCTGCCTCCTCCGCCCGCCTCTCGTCTGCTTCCTCCACCCGCCTCCTGTCTGCCTCCTCCTCCCGCCTCTCGTCTGCCTCCCTCCTCCCACTCCTAGTCTGCCCTCCCTCCTCCTGCCTCTCATCACCTCCTCCCTCTTGCCTCTCGTCTGCCTCCCACTCGCCACGCCTCGTCCTGCCTCCCTCCTCCTGCCTCTGTCACCTCCTCCCGCCTCTCGTCTGCCTCCCCTCCCTCCCCTCTGCTCCTCCTCCCCCTCGTCTCCCCCTCCGTCCCTCTCGCCTCCTAATCTGCCTCACTCCTCCCGCCTCACTCCTCCCGCCTCTCGTCTCCTTCCTCCTCCCGCCTCTCGTCTGCCTCCTCCGCCCGCCTCTCTGCCTCCCCCTCTACGCCTCTCGTCTGCCTCACTCCTCCCGCCTCTCGTCTGCCTCCTCCTCCCCGCCCTACCGTCTCCTCACACCTCCCGCCTCTCGTCTCCCACCTCCCGCCTCTCGTCTGCCTCCCTCCTCCCGCCTCTCGTCTGCCTCACTCCTCCCCCTCGTCTGCCTCACCTCCCTTTCTCGTCTGCCTCACTCCTCCCGCCTCTCGTCCTCCTCCTCCGCCTCTCGTCTGCCTCACTCCTCCCGCCTCTTCTGCCTCCCTCCTCCCGCCTCTCGTCCTCCTCTCCCCGCCTCTCGTCTGCCTCACTCCTCCCACGCCCCTCTCGTCTGCCTCCCCACTCTCCTCCCGCCTCTCGTCCTGCCTCCTCCCCTCCCCGCCTCTCGTCTGCCTCCTCCTCCGCCTCTGTCCTCTCCCTCCTCCCCGCCTCTCGTCTGCCTCCCCTCCTCCCGCCTCTCGTCTGCCTCCTCCCTCCCGCCTCTCTCTGCCTCACTCCCTCCCGCCTCTCTCTGCCTCCTCTCCCCGCCTCTCGTCTGCCTCACTCCTCCCGCCTCTCGTCTGCCTCCTCCTCCCACCTCTCGTCTGCCTCCCTCCTCCCGCCTCCGTCTGCCTCCTCCTCCAGCCTCTCGTCTGCCTCCTCCTCCCGCCTCTCGTCCTCCTCCTCCGCCTCTGTCTGCCTCCTCCTCCCGCCTCTCTGCCTCCCTCCTCCGCCTCTCGTCTGCCTCACTCCTCCCGCCTCTCGTCTGCCTCCCCTCCTCCCGCCTCTCGTCTGCCTCCCTCCTCCGCCTCTCGTCTGCCTCCCTCCTCCCGCCTCTCGTCTGCCTCCTCCTCCCGCCTCTCGTCTGCCTCCTCCTCCCGCCTCTCGTCCTCCTCCTCCCCGCCTCTCGTCTGCCTCCTCCGCCCGCCTCTTCGTCTGCCTCCCTCCCTCCTCTGTCTGCCTCCTCCGCCCGCCTCTCATCTGCCTCACACCGCGCCTCTCGTCTGCCTCCTCCTCCGCCTCTCGTCTGCCTCCACACCTCTGCCTTCCTAATCTCCACCTCCTCGCCCGCCCTCTCGTCTGCCTCCTCCGCCCGCCTCTCGTCTGCCACCTCCCGCCTCTCGTCTGCCTCACTCCTCTTGCCTCTCGTCTGCCCCACCCGCCTCTCGTCTGCTTCACTCCTCCGCCTCTCGTCTGCCTCCTCCTTCCGCCTCCCTCGTCTGCCTCCTCCTCCCCGCCTCTCGTCTGCCTCACTCCGCCGCCTCTCGTCTGCCTCCACCTCTCGCCTCTCGTCTGCCTCCACACCTCTCGCCTCTCGTCTGCCTCACACCTCTGCCTCTCGTCTGCCTCACCCCACCTCTCGCCTCTCGTCTGCCTCCACTCCTCTTGCCTCTCCGTCTGCCTCACACCTCTCGCCTCTCGTCTGCCTCCCTCCTCCCTGCCTCTCGTCTGCCCTCCTCCTCCCGCCTCTCGTCTGCTTCCACTCCTCCCGCCTCTCGTCTGCCTCCCACTCCTCCCGCCTCGTCTGCCTCCTCCTCCCGCCTCTCGTCTGCCTCACTCGCCCCGCCTCTCGTCTGCCTCACTCCTCCCGCCTCTCGTCTGCCTCACTCCGCCCGCCTCTCGTCTGCCTCACTCCGCCCGCCTCTCGTCTGCCTCACTCCTCCCGCCTCTCGTCTGCCTCACTCCGCCCGCCTCTCGTCTGCCTCACTCCATCCCTACCACTCACCATGCACTTTCACTTTCCCCTCAACTAAGTTTTTCATTACTTTATGCTATAAAAAATAGATTTTCACCCGCTTTTAGTTAGGCAAGTCATCCTCTGATGATCTCGGCCAGCTCATCATCCACATCACTGTCTTGTGGTGTGCAGGCACCTGACACGTGAGAAGCACTGGATGATTTCCGTGTTTGCCCAGAGGAAGTTTTTGGCGCTGCATGTCTTCTACCCATAACTTCAGTGCATCTTCCATCTCGCCATACATCGCAGTCTTCAGGTGAAATTTACCCTTGGCAACATCCGGTGAAGCATAGGCTGCTCTAATTTTCTCGTTGAGCTTGATAGTGCCGACAGAGCTCCCCGACAGTCCAAATTGGTGACCCACACTTGAAGCACCATTTCCACGCTGTAGTACTTCCAGCACCTTGTTTTTCTGCTTCAGTGTAATTGCTTGCCTTGATTTCTTGGTCTTTGTGGTAGTTAATGATGTAGTAGCTGGCCTCTTGGGCATAGTGGCGATGGTTGATGCACGTGGTAGAAGGAGATATGTCACACAGTATGTCCGTTCACTAGAGCGTCAGCGCAAGAACTGAGGATGTGTGAGGGTGTGGGAGGGTGGCGGGCAACCTTGTAGTGTGCCCAGAGAGGCGTCTG